ATGCTGAGGGTCATTGAAAGTAAGAGTACATTGAACATCTACAAAAGCACAAAGACCGGGTAAAAGTCACACCTTTTCATTTAAAAATATTTCACTAGCCATTCGTCTTGCCTTCGTGCAGAAACGGTAAGAACTATGTTAAAAATTGAATCAAGGATAATCCATAGACTACGAGTAAGAAACTGCAGCTATAAGTGTAACAGCTCGATCCGACTCTCAAAAGAAAGGTAAGGGCGTAAAATTTTTCAAAGCAATACGGACTGTGCTGGCCTGTAAGAGGTAAGTTAAATGCAGTACACCGAGACAGCGAGTCAATGTAGCATCGGGGGCACTCGGGGAGCTTTAAATGAGGTCAGTATCGACTGGAAAATGAAAAGAATAAAGGTGAGGTTCTTTGAGACGGAGCTTACGCGAGAGGCGACGGCGAGGAGCAGCAATTTTGCAATTTTGCGCGCGATCTACCTATATTGCCGCTCGAGGCCGTCCTACTCGCGCTATTGCCCATCTCAGTTACGAGAGCCGCAGTCACGTTTCAGGAGAAGACAAAATGACGCAGATGACAGCTGCGTGCGACTATTTAATCTGCCGCTCGAATAAATATCTAGGTCAAAAGTTTATTGTTATCGTTGCCAGCCGTACGAGTCCGACATTTTTACGAGGGATCAAGCGTACCGAGTGCTTTTCAATTTGAAATTAACTTTTATGAGATCCAATTTTTATTATTCCGCATATAAATGGAGACTTTCGGTTCGGAATCGCTCGAATTATTGAATTTTACAAGCGTTTCAGCTCTCGCGATCGAATGTTAACGAGCTTCTTTTTCGCGTATCGTGTGTGTTGACGGGGTAGTGGACCATTATATTATTTTTCCTTCAATTTCTTACTTTTCCCTTGAAATTTCGTCTTCGGTAAATATTTCATGCAATGAGATGTAGATGGAAATCGTCAACGTTCAGCGATCTGTTCAGAGATTTTTTGTTGAGGATCAAAATGTTTATTCATTTTTTTAATTCTTCGACTTATGCGATGTCAACGATAAACAAGGTTTTATAAATAATTATTCCGCGGTTTATTGCAACTTTAATTGCATTTAGCATCGCCACAGTGACCCAGTGCCCTCATGCCCCTATTGCAGAAAATAACCACAATTGAAGATGCAACCACGTGAACAAAAAGAAAATAGTTCATTATAAAGTTAAGTATAATGAATAGTAAGCGTTTGCGTGTCTTGATCAAATAAGTAATTTTAGCAAACAAAATATTTTATAGTAATTTGCACTACATAAACATATTTATGTGCTTGTAGAAAGAGTTTAATTTAATAAAGAATTTTAGCATTAAAAATTTCAGTCTGAAAGGATTGTTCGTGAATGTATGTGTAGTTTATGAAAGGATATGAAATAATGAATGCGTAGTTTAGGCCAATATGATCGATATATTATAGGCCTAAAAAATTGGGAAAAAACTCCACAAGGTTCGGTTAGGTTTGATCTTGCGTGCAAACTATGTTTGCGCGTAAGCGCAAACGGAAACCGCCTAAATGGAGAAAACCCTTTGGTTGATTTACATTCATAAAATGCAAACTGATATTGTGATAACATGCGATCATGCGTTCAATCCATGTGTAAAGAAATAACAACGCATTATGATTAATTGATTACAATTGATACTTAAAGGTATGCATATATACTATATGTCGGATGTAAAAGAAATTGAAATTGGTTAATTTGTGGCTAACCGACCAAGTGATATGTGAAATCAAACACGTGGCGTTGTGATGTCGATTGACTACTTTGTGGCTAGTCGACCAATATAATGTACGTGATGAATTAATAGTTTTTTAGTCACTGTGGACTTAACTATTTTGTGGCTAGTCAACTAATGATATGTATAAGTGTTTGTGTAAATTGTGTTTGTGTTACCTGAGTTCGAGGAGGGTTTGTCTCGCGGCGATTGCTAAAATAGCACGACTCAAACAAAGAGAACTGATTGGAAGAGTTATTTAGAAACTAGAATAAATACGCGTCTATTAAATACTATTTTAATAAAACTAATTAAGCTTAACTATACTACATTAACAAATTAAATAAGTTAAAGAAATTCTGTTTAACGAATGTAGAATTCAAAAACGTGCGATTAGTTCGGACGAATGATTTATACTGCCTGACCTCCACAACTAACCGATAACGCGCTGTCACCCGAAACGCATACACTCCCCTACTCTCCTTAAATAAGAAAGAAAGAAAAGTCATATAGTTATATCGTAGTTAGGCATACTGAGTAAGTATATCGAGAAAGGAGAAGAGAAAAGAGAAAGAAAGAAATAGTACGTGGCCACTAGGAGAAAGGAGAGAGCGCGACGATATTACAACCTTATATTACGATACTACCCCTTTACTATATAGGAAATACTTTCGTCTTTCGACGAAACAAAGAATGAAATGTAATTTTAAAAAGTTTCTCGATTAAATATCTTCAGTTAGCTGATTTACGATCTTTAATACTATAAATAAAGTATTCTAAAGACAACAACAACAATAATAATAATAATAATAATAATAATAATAATAATAATAATAATAATAATAATAATAATAATAATAATAATAATAATAATAATAATAATAATAATAATAATAATAATAATAATAATAATAATAATAATAATAATAATAATAATAATGATAATAATAATCGTAATAATAATTTACCGCAATAACATTCTACATTACAAACAGTATTTAGTACTTATTTATTTACTTTTACTATACACATATATTATTAATGTAACCAAATCACTTAATATTCTTTTCTTTTTATAAATTTTGTAATATGCATCATCGATGATATTTTAAATGATTAAACAATGTAAAAAAGTTTTTCATGAAATTATTATTTAATATTTAATATTACGTTGCGGGTTCGATTTTTAATTGAAATTGTACACAGTTTTCACTTGCTAAATTTCAAACTTTTTCGCGTGGAACAATCATTAATAAGATGAGAGTGAGCTAAAGCACGTAGACTTTCATTTCGAATTTTAATATTACATTATATATAGAAGAGTTAAAAAATAATTGTACCAGTAGCAGTTTGTTTTGTTTATGAGATTTAAGTCAATTTATTAGTGCTCATTAGTTATTTGATCAGTGAATTTTGAGAAGCTTGTAAAATAATTACACGCAACAAAGCATTTTGGTGTGATCGAAAAGATTTTGATAATGTAGATAAGCGACAAACGCATGAATTTCACTATGTTTCAACGGATGCCAGTATACTAGTTTATTTATTACATATCTAGTATCTTTATATTCACCACATAATATACATATTGCGTGTTCGATGTTGTTGTTACTTCAACCAACTTATTTCATATTACACAACTAACCGGCTAACGACCGGTCATGAAAAGTATGGCCACTTAAAAATCTTAATTGTCACAAGCCACATTATCAATAATCTTGATGAAAAAATATGGCGCGAATAGAAAAAAAAAATGAGCGGCAAGAATTGTAGCGGATGATTTGGTTCCACGGGCTTAGCCCATGATGCTGGTGAGTTACAGCGCTCGAGATAAAAGATATAGACTGGCTGCTGACTTATCGCGGATGAGGCGAGTTTTAGAAGGATAAGACTGAGGAAGGAATGGGGGTTCTTTCTCTCGTTCTACCTTTTCTTTTAATTTCTTTTTTCTTCGATTTCCCGAGGATTGCTCCATGGCGACTTTAAAAGGCTTGTTACCCCAATGAGATCTTTGCGGGCGCCAGTAAATTTCCCTCTTTATCCGTAATTCATTCGATTCCCAAAAAGTTCCGCAGCTGCTTGAATTCTAGCTAGTAAAATTTAATATGAGGCATTGAAGATTTTCAAGATAAAACGTTATTCCAGAGGTCAAGGAAAGCTTGGATGATTAGAACGATTATTCTTGGTGAAATAGAAGTTTCGTCGTAAACCAAGCTCATAAGGAAAGTCGCCATTGCTAGAGATAATATTTCTTTATAAAGTAGACACGCGGATACTAATCTTGAAGCGGTCTTATAGCGCCATAAATGTTTACGATCAAGCCTGAGCAGTCGCCCCCAGCTCTGCTGCCTCGGTCCCGTAATTCTTAATCCATGAGCGAAGCGTGCGGAAGCAAAAGTTTTTATAATCACGCTTGGACGGCTGATTATCGTGCAACTTTTTCCATCTGCGCTGCATCCCTGTGAAAGAACGACGCGCATGGAGACGAAATAGAGGCCTGGCGGACGATAGAGAAGAGGCACAGAGAGAAGCTTACAAGCCTTTTTTAACGAGGTTGCCGTTTGCAGATCCTTTCTCTCTTTCTCTACCTCTTTGGGGAGAAAAAAAGCGCGCCGACGAGGAGCGTTTAATTATTAAGTTTCGAATTCTAAGCCTCCTCTTGGAAATTCATCCGATGCCCCATTAGCACGCGCGATTTCACTTCGCTCTCTCTCTCTCTCTCTCTCTCTCTCTCTCTCTCTCTCTCTCTCTCTCTCGCGCGCGCGCGCGGGTAATTAGACGCTTTGAAGGCGGCGTGCCCGCGATGTTTTCACAGTACAGCCACACTTGACCCGGCATCGGCACAGCATTTTCCTCTGCTTTCATTCGATAAATCTTTTTGATGCATTTAATGCGCGGAGCACCCCTCTTTGCTGCTTGCCTCTCTCTCAATTATACTTGAAATGGTGTCTACCAAAGAGTCTCATTCGTCAGATGCCCGAAGAAAGAGCTTCTTTTTTTATGCTGGGTCGATGAAAACGTATTGGCGGTCTAACTAGTGACGAATTTATTCGAGGTACGATAGCGGCTTTCGATTCTTGCAAATTTTTTCAAACATCAAAGGAAAGTTATACGTATATAATTTTTGCGCGTAAAATCTGCATACCCAAGCGACAAATCGTTCGCCGAAACAGCGACCTTTTTGAAAATCATCCACGCCACATTAGTCGCAAAGAGTTATTCAGCGCAGAGCGGCTTTTCGTTGCTCAAGTACTCACCTTTGATCTGCCTTGCACGCGTTTCTCTTGATTCAATTGCAGCCACGCATCCCAGCGATGACGGTAGATATTCAGAACATTCCATTCGTTCAGTTTGACGGTCTCGGAACTTCTCACAATACCCACGCCACTACCACAGTCAAATCTGAAAGACAGAGTACGAATTCTCTAGTTAATTAATTGCAGGAAATATTGAATGCTTTTCACATTTGCATGATATTGATATCGTGTCGGAAAATCTGTGTCATGAACTAATGTGGTACATGATTTTCAGTGACTTTCATTCGCATAGAACTTACATTCTCAATGTTAAATAGATTTATTTTCAATTAAGAGACCATAAAATAAAATAAAGTCGATTGATACCTTTAGTCGAAGCTAATCGCGGAAATATTAATAATTTAGCAACAATTATAACACGAAGGTATCGGAAATTCAATAGAATTCCCTTCATTCAAAGCTACACAAAAAACATACATACAACTCAAATTTTTAACAATTCAGTAGTGGTAATCAATGACAAGCACCACACATTGTTATAACAATTGGTCGGAATTGATTTTAAATTTCTCACATTGTTATAGCAATATTGGTGCTTATCTCTGATTATATCATTGTTGAATTTTTAAAAATTTTAATTGTATGTTTTCTGCATACAAGGGTAATTTTATTATATTGATAAGGGTAATTCTATTATATTCTGGAAATATTGACGGTATTGTTGCTCATTACAAGTATGCTCAAAAGGATCTTTGGGTTTACATATAACAATTTCTTGCGAGCAAGAAATTATTAGTGAACATATTTTATCGTTAATTCACAAGCCTGATATTAAGATAGACTAGCCTTAAAAAACGTACGTAAAGGTAAACCATCAAAGTTATAGAATATCATTAAAAAGCACTTTTTTTAGATCGAATATCTACGGGATTCAAAATAGGTCCAGACCATATTAATCATATCACTACCAGCAAACATTTTGTCGAATAAACTCACAATACCCGTGAAAAAAGGTTTTTCTGTTATCAATGTATGAGTCTCATTGACATTTATAAAAGTTAGAATTAAAAATTGACCACAAAATGTCACTGCGAATCAATGTTCTATCATGCAATAAAAGCCAGCCAAGCACACTTTATCGTCGCATAAATTCAATAAAAATGCAAGAAGTGAGAAAAAGAAAGGAGTATCTCTTAAATCAAGGCAAAGGCACAAAATACCCTCGCAGTTTCACGGCAAGTGGATCGTACGGCAGCAGCAGCAGCAGCAGCAGCAGCAGGCGTGATAAAACGTCGAGAGAAAGAGAGAGAGGGAGAGAGAGTCCGTCTAGTCGCGTTAAAAGTCCCAGTAGGTAAAACAGCTGGTTCGAAATAAATCGTGCAGACTTCCGAAATTGTCGAGGCAGGCAAGCAGTAGTAGCAGCCAGTAGTATAAGTCAACGCCGGCGTCAGGCCGATTAGCCCGCAAACAAATGTCCAGATCGATATCAAACGAGCCGACCCTCGTTTGTACATGCTAAACTGCGGATCTCGAAAATAATTTGCAAGGACCGTTGTTATACGAGGAACAGATATACAGAATGGTACTATAGTTTTCGTTTTTTCTTTCTACTTACAATAACGTTCGGTTGGTTATCGCTACAGTTATGCTCCCCCTGCGATCATTCATGCTACGATAAGTCAAGCGAAATAATGACGAGTGGCTGTCGTGAAAATTAATAATAGCGCGCGAAAAATAGATTCCCATTCGAAGTCCCTGAATATATATGCAACATTAACAAACCGTCGCCGCTTTATCGGAGCTGAGCTAATCAAAGAACGCAGGCAACATTGATGAAAAGTAAATTCAAGCTTCTACCTCTCGTGCAGTCCTGAAAAAAGGAAGGGATTTAAAATGCACGCCCCACTTTACGAAAACATACACAGCATTATAACGCTCCGGCGAGGAGCAAGAAGCTCTCGTCAATTTCATTTTGCTTTTTCCTTATCCCCGACAGTGGCAGCAACGTGTACCGCAGTCGCGCATTAATTCTCCAGGAGCCGCGCCGCGCAAACGGAACTTGCATGTGGAATGCGCGCCTGGGAGAGCGCATCTATCTTTACCTTAATGTCGCCAAAGTGAAAACTTGGCCTCGTTTCCTTCTTCTCCGCCCGCGCGTCTTTTATCTCGCGCGCGCGTTCTCGTTTCTTTTCAGCGCGTTGCATGTGTTAGTCGTCGAGGTGACGACGAGTGCCATTACTGTCTCTCTGCTTCTTTCCGCGGATCTTACAAATGCATTTGCAATGCGATCGTTTTGTTGTGTCCTTTCCTCGTGCGTATATACACCCTGCTACTTATCTTCGCGCTTGTTTGTTTGTTTGTTTTTTTTTCTTCAAATTTGGTTCGAAATGCGCGAGCTCGATAAAGAATTTCCATATCTTCATACTAGCTTTCTCCTACGCATAAAAACAAATGTGATATACGCGCGTACGATATTCACTCCGAACGATAAAACATGACGATACAAAAAATAATATCCATCCGAATTCGGTCGTTAGCGTCGTATCAACAAGAGCGAAATCGCCATGAGGACCTTTCGATTCCAATATCTGTGCGCGAAGCATACTCGATTCGGAAATGACGACGACCCAGATATCAAGGAGAAACGTTAATTATCCGAGCTACTCGAAAGAAATTTTCAATAGTTCGCCGCGATCTCTCGGATACTCGGATACACATTGAAAATAACGACGCGCGCATCGACACTCGCCGCAGCGTGACGCGCGCATCGCGTATATAACGAAAGCGCGATAGCTCGAAAAGTTGTATCGGAAATGAAATTCGCGTTTGGACGCCGGCCAACTTCTGTTACTCCATTCGCTGCCCTTTTTTCGTCCGCCGCGATTATTCTTTTGTCGACGGATGGTCCTATTTTTTGCTTATCGATCGTCGAATATAATAAATGTCGATGGCCCATTGTCGCTCGATCTTATTACAAAATTGGTCTGAGGTGCCGATCAATTTGCAATGTTGAATTCGTACTTCAGCCGCTGTTGAATGTCCTTGTGCCGTTTGTCATTCCGATATATTAATTGGGCCTTTAGCGCTACTTACCAAAAAGCCTTTAATCATTCAATTTGACTTGTGAACTAGGCAAGAGCCAATGAGTTAAGTTGAACTCTGTGATTGCTCTCCCCCTCTCGCGGATAACGTTATTTGCTCCGTTGAATTAGACTGGAATATCATTCATTTCCAGTTCACTCGGCAATTCTCTTTGAAATAGTTATTACATTTTACATTCGTGCCTCCTTTCGTGCGAAATCGTTGATGCGATTCATCCACTCACGATCATATTTTCAAATGTTTAACGTACTTGCGATAGTCTTACGGCTGGGCGAAGCTCAACGCGTTGTGCAAAAATATCGAAGCTTGCTCTACTTATCCCGTGACATTTAATTGCGTGATTTCGTTCATTTCACGTTATTTTTCATTATTTTATTATTTGACTGTTTCTTTCTCCGAATGAAATGACATTACAGCGAGGCAGACATTGACTACTTGAAAAAATTGCTAGCCACGGTATTATTTCCAGGCAACTTAAAATAATAAATGTCGTGTATTTTTTATTGATTACGTTACCACAGACGATAATAATTTATAACCGCTAATAATGATGAGATAAGACGTGAGTCCGATATGACAAAAAATGAAGATTCCACAGGCGCCTTCCATATACGAGTAGGCATACGAGCGCTTTTAGCGTATAATTCGCGAAAAATTGCACAATGCATTTCTTATAAAGCTCGTCGGTGACAATAATCCGCTGAAAATTGAAATTCGACGAGCACGTCTCTCGAGGCAGTGCACGTGCACGCGCACGCATAAAAAGGCATATCTCTCACCTGAACTCGACGTATCCGTGATGTAAGATGAGCGCCATGAAGTCCCCTTGAAGATCGTCCCTCTCACCGGCAAGCAAGAGTACGCCGTCCCAAGCTTCTGGTCGGAACTCGAGCTGTAGCTGGACGTGCTTGTAGGCGGCGTGCAGCGCCGGGAAAGCTAACCAACCCAGACCGGTGAACCGTGGCGACCTCACCTCCTCGTCTGCAACCATGAAAAAAAGCATCCCCGTGAGTCGGGTCATCAGTGCGCTCGTATAAGCGCTGGCATCGTAAAGAAACGAAAAAAGTTTCCTTTTTTCTTTCCTACGAATATCGACGGTTATTGGCCTATTAAGATTACGAGGTCGACTTGCTTGGATATGGCCTTATTCTTTCTTCTCCTTCTCTTTCGGACGGCGAGAGGAATAAGGTGACGGCGGAGCTCGTTGCTTTTATTCATATTTCGCAATGAGCAAAGTTTTTCTCTTTTTTTATTTTTCTCCGCCCCCGAGAGCCTCGCACGCGCGGCTATTTCGCGTCGAGCGGCCATCATTTCTTTTATCGTTATTCCGATACGCCGTACGATTTTCCTTCGGTCCACCGCGATTTTACTTGCCGAACAAATGACACCCAGCAAAACGAAAGAACCCTGCGCAGAGGAAGCAGTCGAGCCGTCGTCTTTGTTCAGGTCTGCGCTCTGTCGAACGATGTAATTGCTTCATCGATACTCGGACGACCAACAAGAGCTCATCGTAAAGCTCGAGTGAAAAAAGGTATTAATCGTTGGCGCGCGCGCGAGTCAACGCAACACAATTGCACAGCGGCTCGCACAGAGTGAAAACTTTGCCGCGGCCACGTTCGCGCCGAGCGCACGGTGCACTTTCGCTGTGGGATTCGCGTCATAGAAGTGCGGGAAACTGGAACGACGGGAGATTCCGCGCAAGAGACAAAGGTGAAAGAGGCGAGCTCGCGAGCGCGGATAAGGCTAGGATTTATCATTGGGGCGACTTTGCGGCCGCTTATACACGAATTGAGCGGCTCTCTTCTCCGCTGCAATTCGCGAGCTGCTCACTTTGTGTGCCGTTCTGCTCGGCCGCCGCTCTCGAGATGTACGCGGATCAAGAACTTCAGAGCCGCTGGGGAATTGTACTCTCGCCGAGCGTTTGCCGTTCAATTTCGCTGTGTTGTTTCAAAGTGCAATGGGAATATTGTGTGCGCGCGCTCGCAGTTTACGAGTGCTCTTCATTTTTTCGTTGCTCTGCCAGGGATATTCTTCTTTTCTTTATTAAACGGAGAATGGCAGTTTTTGTAATTTTGAGATATTGTATGCCGACAGTGATGCCACGCTTCGTTTGCTCTTTTACGCGAGGTGTACCTTTTTCCGACTGCTTTCCACGCCTGCTATCGAGCCCCCTATACTTTTTTTCGTACGAACGTTTGCTTCTGCGTCTGTTTCCGCACATATTTGTTCGATCACTGAAATACGGAAGTTAATATTTCCACTTATTTCCTTTTCCGTCAAAGATGTGTTATTACGTACAGGCGATTATTTATTGTTGATCGAAGTGTATGTGAAATGATAACACTGCTAGAAAAATATCGGACGCGTAGAAATAAGCAGACAACGACAATGCAGACGCATAAATATACATCTCGGTAGTCGATCTTGCTTCCATATCTGCCCAAGCACCCTTCTATTGCCAACGATCGCCCCTTTTCTTGTTCCGCGCACTCCCGTAGCAGCTCTTTTGTGACGAAAAATTCCGACGATCGCGCGGTGTCGCGCAGCTCAACAAAGTCGCAGGCCTCCCTCGTTCTCTGTGTCTCTTCCTCTCTGTCTCGCACACACGCAATCGCCGAAGGAACGAGGAAGCCCTTGCGTTGTCATGCGAGTATTCGACAGAGACAGCTGTACGCGCAAAAGGGAAAAGTAGAGGCGAGCCCGGCGGCCGAACGAGGAAAGAGCAGGCGTTACGTCCGCGGGGAAGGAAAAGAAAATTGCACGGCGAAGCCCTCCCGCTGATCCCATATGCGTTTGCACGATAGAGAGAGAAAGCAAAAGGTCATATCAATCACGTGGAAAGTGAGGATCAAGCCCCACCCAGCCACCGATAAATCGGGGGACGAAGACGTGGGCTCAGCTTCTCTTGCGCTGCGTGACGCGCCGCTGCCGCCGCTGCGCGCAGGCACGCGAGAAATGGAAACTCGATGCGTGTAGCCGCGTATACGTGCCGGCAAGACCGTATCTCGTGGCCCTTCTTACTTGGCCGTGCAGATTTGCTCACTAGAACGGAGTGAGGGCAGATTTTCGCTTTCGCCTGCGCATACACATCCATGCCGCGCGGCCCGACTTATTGAAATTTCGCCGTGCTGCCCGGCTGTATTTTTAGTCGTGGGTTATTGCATTTCAAACGTGGACCTTCGAGGCCCCGAGAATATAGCGCTTCGAGCGGGCTGCTCTTTGCTTTTAAGCCACTTGTTTCGTTCGACGTTCTCTTTGTGCTGCGCGTCATAACAAGTCGTTTACCTGCTATAACGTCGTCTCGTCTTCTTTTTTTCTTTTGCTTTTCTTTCGCAAAAATTGCACCCGTCGGCTGCCGGTGATTATGAAATGTTTTACGATAGCGCGAGAACATTTTCTCGCGACAGAAGTTGAATGTTTTTCGGGCAAATGAAAAGTTAATATTTAAACAAGGGAGTTCAGCGCAGTTTTCTTTTCTTCAGTAGAGAATTTTACGTCAAGCTGAAAGATATAATTTAGAATGTTCTTTAACGAACTACAGCGATACGCAGACTTGGTTTTCGTTGGCATTTTAATTGTTAGCTTAATTTAACGTATATTGAAAGTTGCACTGAAAAAGAAAAAATGCGAACGACCGACTTCCGATACTTCACTAATAATCGTCGGCGATATCAAATGCCTTCACGATTACCACCGATCGAGCGGAAAGCACACGAAACGGCCAAAATCCCCACGCGATAAGTGCCAGTGAGACATAACGACATAAATAAAGTGCACCTAGACGAGAAATAAAGAAAAAAAAAGGTCCAATCGGCAAGTGTCTTATATCAGGTTTCTGGCAAGACGAAGTGGTTCTCGCGCCAATTGAGCCGTTCTCTCCTCTGACTTATCGCCCATCTCTACCAATCGCTCCAAGACGAAGAAAAGCTCCAGCTCTGCCCATCCCAACTCACGTTCGATTTCATAAAGATATAGAGGGGAGTAAATAGGATTCCCGCGAATGCGCGGCGAACTCGTACGTAGTCTCGCGAATGAACGATGCCGTGCCAGACTTTCGATTTTAGGATGGGAATAAGCCTACGAGCGCTGAATTCTTCCGCTTGTTTTACTTTTGAAGTATGTTGCCGGAAGCCTCGAGGAGGAAATAAAAGAAAGTTGTTCACTCCCTCGCAATTTGAATCGGATAATTACAAAGTTGAGACGGGAACTTTCCGAGGATTTTAAAAGTTGTACGCTCGAGGCGAAAGTTTTGTAGGATTAATTAAAGTGTTTTTCTTCACGCTCGATTATCAATCAGATTATTATTTTTTTCTTATAAGTCGATACATTAAACGCGAAATCACAGGAAGTCATTTTTCTACGAGAATGCCTCCTACTCTCTTTTTCCGCTCGGGCTCGCTCTTATCGCATCGTAATACTACTTTGCTGCGAATAAAACAACCATTTTCCTGTCGGGAATTTTAATATCCGTTGAACTTGTTTTACCGAGCGAGAGAGAACAAAAAAAAAAGAGGAGGAGGGTTGCTTTTCTATACCAAGTGGCTATTTTTTGTAATACCCGATATCCTTGCGAGACCTTTCTAGCATGTAACATGATTTTCCTCTTAAAAAATCGAGAGAATAGACGAGGATTCGATTTTAACAGACTCTCTCAGCTTTTTGTATGACTCGTATTCCTTTTCTGTTTCGCTTTTATTTGGTCAGAGGTCTCGGAATTTGCCAGGCTTTATGAAAGTAACGGTTTCCCGTTATTCCTACGTGACGTTAATTTGATTGATCTGCACGGGCGCACGACAACTTCCTTTTATGCAAATTAAGCCTGAAAAAGTTTATCGAATATAAATCTCTGAACGAATACTGTTCGCCGTCTGGTAGTTTCTCTTTTATACGATGAGAATTCGATTGGCATTGACATGCTGCTATAACCGAGTTATTTATTAAAATACATTTTAATGTTAAAATCGTTTGGCATCGCGCAACGAAATTAACAAGCAGTTCAATATTCAGTCATGTGCACATTTGCAATTTTAATAATGTAAAATGGCAAACACAACAAACTCGCTTCACGTGAAATCAGGCATCGAGTCAAGCTGATGTTTCGCGCTAGTCTTGATTTTTCCGAAGTAAGAGGCAATATGGAATTATTTAACGAGCTAGGTGCGTGTGAGTTGTCTGCACTTTAAGAAGCCTCGCGCGCACTGTTTCCCCGGAGGTTCTTGATGAAATTCCAACTGTAGCGTGATACACCACAAGTGAGCGAACATTACTCTGTACATAGCTGTGTTTCTCCATTAACCGAGAAGAAATAAATAAAAGTCACTCGAGTTTTCGAGAGCTTCGAGAATGATTAAACTCGACTTTCAAAACTCGGAAGGATTTCACTCGGGTTAACCGCAAGAGAAGCGTTTTCCTAAGCCAAAGTTCTCTCTCTCTCTCTCTCTTTCTCTCTCACTTTCGTGTATAATAATTAATCATAAACTCGTGGGTCGGCTACTGGTCAGGTGGTCACCGATGCAGCCAGCGGATTCCCAACTATGTATATGCATATATAACGGATAGTCCTTAATCCGAAGCTCTCGTGTCAGGTGCGATATAGCTCGTTGACGCAACGTGCGCCTCCGACGTATATGTACTGAATGTGCTAATGTCACGCCGAAGCAACTGACCCGCACACGTGCACGGACACCGTGCTCGCCTTCAAACTTGTGCGACTCTTGCACGTGACCTGATTTCTTTTCAGAGCTTTCTACGGTAGATATTGCTGTTCAGCTGTTATTGAATATTCCTATTTTCTATCTTATGAAAACGATGTGTCGCCAACATCCAGCATTATGATTTATAAATAACGTTCGCTTGGTGGAATTGGCAATGTTTGTCATTGGTAATGCGACTCGCTTCAGTTTCAGGCAGGCGAGTTATTATAGAATAATAGCTTCAAACTGTGATTTTGACAGACACGAGACCACGTGACAAGTAAAGAC